TTGGGGCCTAAAAGCTGCATCACCTAGTAGACCGAGCTCGTTTAAGGACTACTTCTTATCGATAGCCGCTTACGAAAAGCATAAACAATCTCGGCCCTGTGGATCTTTAGAACGAATTATGGCTTTTACAGAAATGCGCACTTTTTGTTAAATGGGAGCTAAAATAAGCAACTTTGAATTCGTCTTTTCAAGATTGAATCTCGTTTTAGAAACTCTGGAAAAATTCCTCTCTGTGAGTGCACTCTTCTAAAAATGCAAGAATTGGAAATTAAAATTCTTTGTCAGTGCGCGCACCTGTTCTGTCATGGTAAGGAGAAACACCGTATGGGCTCTCACAATGCCAAATTGCCTTTGACAAATCACGAATTTTCGGGAAAGTTAGTGAGTATTTTCTTCCAATTTTTAAGAGAATTTTTTTCGCAGCTCGATCTAAAGCGTCTGTAAATTTCAATGAAAAATACTCATAACTCTGCTCGAAAATAAATATTCTCTAGGATTAAATTTGGCAGCGTTCGAATTTTCATACGGCGTTTTTACGTAGCATGGCAGCCGTATTTGGATCGCCACCAATCCGCCTTTTTTACAGTTGCTCCTTATCGATCGATTCTCAAGATTCCGAGAGAAATCGGCGATGATGTGGGGAGATCCTCTCGTTGATTGAAAAGCTTATCCGCCAATGGCGAAGCGTGAATGATCTACTATCAATATTTCCTCATTTGAAGCTATGGTAAAGAATCGATTACTAAGGTGCTCTTTGCAAACACTGTTTATCGATCGTTTTCCATTGGTTTAAATGGCTGATCAATCGATACATCTCAAAGCACGCCACGCCACTGTCATCCGCCGGCGCCCTGGTGGCTACAAGAAGGAGGAAAAAAGGATCAAAAGCTCAGGAAGCATAAATCAAAGCTCGAAAAACGGAAACGCGGGGGAGTAGCGGCGACTGCGACGGCGGTCGATGAGGTTCTGGATCTTTTTCGGCCGCCAATTATCGATCACCAATCCGTGACGACAGCGTAAACTGTTGCACAGCTCCCACAGAATTCGGCTTCCTTCAGCTCCGAGCCGGCCACTGATCGCTCTTCGCTCTTGATGCCGCGTTGCGCTCCATCTAGGCAGGACAGGGGCGATCATGCCGTGATAACGAAGAGAGCCGAAACTCTCAAATTTTCGAAATTAAGTCTTCTTCAAAATTCGTCTCATCTAACATCAATAATTTTACTAATTTGGCTAAAACAGCACAATTTGTCTTATTTGTATGAATACGAGACCTATTGCGAAGCCATAAGTGCGCAAACAATTTTTTCACCCTTACGGTTAGGACTAGCTACGGTTACACAAGGACTATACGGTTACAAAAGGACTATACGGTTACAAAAGGACTATACGGTTACAGAAGAACTAACTCCGCCGGTGACAACCTCGTCTCGCCACCGTACCGGTCCATTCAACAGGGCAAGAAAGCCTTAAGGGGTCCCAAAGCAGAAAAAAAGGGGAGGGACTTCGTCAAAAGGTCAATGAGAAATACTCAAAGTACAACTTATTGCGATCACTGCTACTTGACAACCTCTCTGAAAATTGGGAGGAAAGGAAGAGTAAATAAAATTTTGCAGGACACTTCCTTTACGCTCCGATGTCTTAGAGTAACCTACAGTTTTGGTCGAGTTGCAAAATCGTGAGGAGCAACCAAAAACTTCACGGATTGATCTGACACAAAAAAAGTAACGCATAGTATCACTAAATTGGAAAATTTTTAACTAAGGGGTTTGGAGGACAAGGCGCAAAAGTGCAGTTTTTGAAAAAATTGAGATATTCATGAAATCAACTAAATCTACCTCGTAAGTATATTCTGTGAAAAATTCACGACTAAAATCCAACTTTAAAGCATCGAAAAGTGAGTTCAGACTTCCTCTCTGCCAAAAGGCTCCATGTAATTTTGAAACTTCAAACACGAATTTCTCGAAATAGCAAAGACTGCACTTATGGACCTTGTCCTCCAAGCCCCTCAATTGGACCGAATTTATCAGAAAGGAACCAACCCACATTTTCGAAAAAATTGAGTTAAGAATGTTATTGAGTTCGACTAGTTGTATATGCACTCCTGCCAAAAACTCAAAGTCCAAAAAACGAAAATTAGTTCGTGAAAAGAGGGGTTAAAGGTCCTTCTCTACATTGAAACTTATGGAGGAGTAAAACTTCAAACCTCTTTTTCTCATTTCAAATCAATGTGGATTGGTTCTTTTCTGATAAACTCGGTCCAATTGAAGGGTTTGGGTCTGATTCCCTTTCCTTTGTCCAATTGTGCACTAAAATCCTTTGGTAATAGTGTAAGGCACCAAAAGCGACTGTCATAGGAAACTTTGGTCGCCTTTGCCTGGAATAAGCTGCGCAAATGGTGGACTGGACCGTGGCGTCGCGAGTAGGCAACTCGGTGGGAGCGGGGAGTGAGTTGGCTGCCTGATTGAGCTGGAAAATGCCCGAATTCCCCCGGGAGCGATGGGGAAGGACTGCCGTGGGAGCTGTGATCAGGACTCGGATCAGCTGGACATCAGATTTGACGGGCCCTGGACCGGAAGCCGTGGGCGACTCACCTCGCACCGGACCGCGCCGGGCCGCGCCGCGCCGCGCGTGCCGGGTCGAGCCGCAACAGAAACACCACCGTATTGTACTCGCCAAGTCTCACAGAATTTCTCACATACTATGAAAACGCCGCTCTAGATTACAATTGCCAGATCGTCACCTTCCAACATTTTACAGTTCAAATCCGATAGATTCATTTTCATAAAGTGAAAATTTAAAATCTGGTTGTCTTTTCTATCTCAGCGTTTAAGTCTCCAAGTTTTATAATACTGCCGTGCAATGCACATCCGCCGTAAACGCCATTTTAAATTTTTTGGAAACAATGCATCATAGCAAAAAAACTTGTGTACTTCGGGACAATGTTTCTGCAGAATTCTTTCGCAATTACTATCAAGAGTTTACCCAAAATTCCTCGTAACCAATGTGTAATACAAACGATAATATCTTCGTTTAGAGTTTGTTTAATTAGTTTTCGTTGCGCGAATCGTGCTCTACGTGAAATTCTGGTTAAGAAACATGTATCAGAATTCTGAAATTTGTACCTTGTCTAGTGGTCCATTGCGACTTTCCACTAAAACTCAAAATTGAGTCACTGAGACTGAGGCACAGAAACATTTTCCACAAAAATTTTAGACAAACACCGCCCAAAAAATGTGAATGAGTCTATATTTCCCATCAATCTTTTAAACTTGATTTGGAGTGTCGTGGGAGTATTCGTGCGTTGCAACACATTCCTCCACAAGTTTTTAGTCGAAATAAAGTCTCATTAGAAAAATCTCACGTTTAGGGTCTCACCTGGCAACCCTGTCTGGGATCAACCGCGGTCAGTTGGAAGGAAGAAGCTGTCTAGGATACCACACGAAAGATGTCTATCTAAAATTATGGTTATCAATGTGCTCTCATAATTTCAAACTTTTTCCTCGTTCTGCCGTTGGCTTTAAAAAGCGCTTCTTTCATTATATCCCACGAGGCAGCATGCTGGAATGAAATTATGATGTTAAACGAATCCCATTTACGCTGACCAGTTCCTCCTAACTTACCCTCGTTGGCCTCAGGTGACATCAGCGCAGAGAGGAAGTTCGCACACAATGAGAGGATTCTCAAATTCCTTTCAATAAATCCATTAGGATGATCGAAACTGCAACGTTGTTGGCATGATTTCGTTCAACGCCAACCTGTTTCTCCATCCTTTAAAGTTGACCATTGTTAGATTATTTATTTATTTTTTTTTTTGTTAAAAAAAATTGATAGATGAAGTGCATACACTTGATTTCAAGATTACCTTGTCTGTCCAAGAAAACACTCCGACCGAATTCTTAAAATCGGTCAAATTGCTGGTCTCAAAGTTTCGTTATAAAATGTAAGCATACACGCATCATGAACATCTAATTTTCCTTACAGAAGTTTCGAATTGAGTAGATGTATCAGTGGAGAGGCATGAATGATCGATTGTCGATATTTCCCCCTTTTTAAGCTATGACAAAGAATCAATAATTCAGGCATTTGTTCCAAAAACCCTGATTGTCGATCTAAAAAATCTAAAAAGTAAGATGATATACTTTTCCAACAAATACTCCATAATTTACCAAATACAGGAGACTTTATCGAACCAAATGCTCGTCTTAAAATGATCTGAAAGTGTGGTGAATCGTTTTTATAAAAATTGGTGTGTGGGAGTGACTAAACTTTAAGGACTCTCATCCTTTGGTTGTTTTAAAGCCCAGCCTCAAGGTCGCGAATTGGATTTTGGGAAAACATAATGAAAATATTATAATGAAAAAAAAAAATCATAAAAGATGTAAAGATGATATGGGAACTACATGTGATGAAGCTAGGCTATTAAGATGAGCCTCCAGTTGAACATAATTTAAAATGAGATAATTTTAACACAGCTTGGAGGATTCCGTATCATTTGGTACAAAGATTACTCAAAAATTCTAAAAATTACCCTTTACGAAAGTTTCAAAGTCAGGAAATAATAAATCGGGAATTTGAGCAAAACGTGGCTAAAGGGTGGAGAAACGATTTATTTCAAACATTTATAGCATGTCTACATAAATATACATTATTGCCTAAAATTTTTATCCAATATCAAGAAGCAATTAGCACTAAAACTGAAAATCGGAATTTTTAACTAGAATCAGCATTTTGACTGTACTCTTGACGCTATTGCAGAATACCAATTGTTCGGATTATGGCGTTCAGAGACAAGAGACCCTCCACTAGTATCTTGGCCATGGTGGAAGCTTTTACTATCGGGACTTCAGCATTCTCCTGTTGACTTACCTACATGGTTGATGTTTAACAACGTATTGGCAGTTTCGTTTCGCAAACAAGCCGAAAATGGCCGAAGTTTAGGAAACTTGTTTGGCTCATGACGTGACCCGAAGCTCATCATCGACCATGTAGGTAGGTCAACAGCCGAAATTAGGGTGATGACTGTTGCTCCCTTATAATTGTCCATAAGGAACTGTTGAATCCCCGAAAGTAAAAGCTTCCACCTGTCGGCAAGAGGCCAGTGGAGGGTCTCTTGTCTCTGATGGCGTTGAAGGATGATTTTTATCGCTGTAAAAATTTTAAGGAAGTTTAATTTGAAATGGTCGTCGTAGATGGCGTTTCTGATGTTACGTGACCTGTTTCTGTTTCTACATCATCTGGGGGCCACGTTGGTGGCGGGTAGGACCCCTCTTCGTAAACTTTTCCCAATCGAGGATCTTTAGGTGTGATGCTAAGACCTGGAATGATTGTCGTCCCTCTTCGTTTCCTGATTCTGCGCAGTTTCTTCGTTAGAGGGGTTGTCGTGATGATTTTCATTCGCAATTTCATCAAGCGCGACTCTTTATGGCAGTAAACCACGTTCTTCTCGTCGTAGGCTGCTGCAACTCGGAACCTGCGATGACATCATAAATGAAGACGCAATGCGATTTTGAGCATTGCAAATAGAAAGGAGACCAACTGGACTGCATTTTGCAATTTAGAACTATAAATTCTGGCTCTTCTGGAAAAACACTTATGTGCATAGGGAAACTAATGGCACGTACGTTGTTTTTAAACCGGGCTATAATTTATAGCCTCAAATTGCAAAATGTGGTCCAACTAGCACCGGCATCATTAATTGATAATACTTTACGAATTCCCTCATAGGCGAATTTTATTCGCACCTGTTGAGCACAGTTTTCAGGAAAATTTTTGGTATCGAGTTTTGTAAACTATTTGGAGTAAAAGTCAGATCATACTAAATTTGCAACCAAGGTTGGAAGGCACAGAACTGCTGCTTGCAGTAAACGATCACAGCACAGCAAGCTGTCCAGTTTAGAATCCAAGCCAAAGAGCTCAATGCAAAAAGCAGGATGATGATATGAACTGCTGCCAATAACTTCCGTATTTCCTTAAAAATAAGAATGATTACGAAAAAAATTGAGAAAAATTGTGATCGAAGAAGAAAATTTTTCTTGGGTGAGTTATTTTTAAAAATCTTTCAACTCAGGTCGCCCCTAACTTTTGAACCTTTAACAAAGTACCTTATTGTGCACGATTAAGAATACATACCTGTAGTCATAATTTGGTTCTAAGCAATCGGCCCAGAAAGAATATGGATTTGTCATGTCATCAGTGTACCTGTGCCATAATTTGCAGCGGCAGATTTCTTTATGCTTCTTGTCTAACTTTAGGTATTCAATCACGAAGTATTCAATACTATGATTTGGCGGCATAACAAAATTCCAATCCACTTTCACAGTTGCGTTTGGCAGCAACGTCACGTTAACATCACTTGGAGCTGCAAACCCTATTGAAATGAAATATAATCGCTCTTCAATTTTACATCTCATACATTAAAATCATTCTGGTTTGAATATTGATCCAAGACAAAATTATATGAAAACCACAATTTTTCTCTTGTATTAGAAAATTTAAATTATTGAATTGAATAAAAATTAGTACGTTTTTCAAGTAAAGATTAGAGTCAAAAATTATATGGAAATAATTGTCTTCGACTTTTTTTAAAGCAACTCTCATCACTTGGCGCATCACTTACTGTTGGAAATTTTTTTCAAACAGGGCTCGAGATAGAAATTTGGAAAATATGAATGCTCAAAATTCTATTTAAATATTTTAGAATGCCAACATTCATACGAATTTGTTCAACGTGATAAGATAAATTTATCTATTATCTTGGCACAGTGCACATAAAAATTTACATTTTAGGCTCTGAAAACAGTAGCTAGATATTCTGGATGGATCTGAGACTTTCAGATTAAATTGGACACATTTATGGTTAAAAAAACTATGTGCAAATAGATACACTCAAAAGAAACTTAGTAGCACGCAAACACTATCCACATAGTTCCTTTTGATGTAATTCATTTTGACATAGTTCTTTTTAGCCTAAATAGCTTCGATCGTCTGCAACACTAATCGACGGTGCTTATAATATCAATTCAGCCTATACTCACCACCTGATGTCGATTTGGAATATGACTCGCTTGGGGAAGATTTTCTTTTTGCATCAGATGAGCAACAGGTGGACTTTGAGTGGGCGCTGACCTTGTTAATTTCAGTTGTAACTGAACTGGTTCTCAATTTCCTCATTGTAACCTAGGAGAAGTAAACAGGAACACTAATAAGTATATACTAACACAAATTTTTAACTTTTTTTCGTTGGTGAGTTTCAATTTTAACAAATTGATTTAGACTATGCTCTTCTCTCGGATTCTTTTTCTACTTATTGTGATTTTCGAGAAAAATACACGATCAAATGTTTGTTATTTTTCATAATTAATGGCATTAGTTTATTTGGCTCCTGGACTTTGTAAACCCTAAAAACCATAACAAATACTCAACAGATCAGATAAAACGAGCGATCACCAACTTTAATACGAGTAATATCAATGAACTGTTATTGTAGTGTTAATTTTTTATTTCAAACTTTTATATTCGTTGGTAAGTATTTTTCTATTTATCAAAACTCACTTATAGTCGAACTTTCCGTACAGACTGGATACCTGCATGTTTAAAAATCGTCAGTAATTTTTTTTTGAAATCCGAAAATCATTTTACTTACATAATTACTCATGAAGGTGGTGAGCGTGCCCAGTTGTATTAAAACACTTGCAAGAAGTATTTTCATGCTTTGTAACTTAAAAACTATATATTAGTAAATAATATGAATTGCAGTTCCAAAGGATATTATAAATACGATTCATCCCCGTGCTCTAAGGAAAAAATTATTCACATTTGTTTATCCAGCCTATTAGAATATGCCATAATTATTTAAATTACAAAAACTAGTTTAAAAATGTTCACTTTGCAAACATTCAAAGCACACGTACATCATGGCAAAGACATCATTCTAATTGACAGATCTTTTAAAATTTGCGGCCAAACGAAAGTAATGTAACTGGGCAACCAGACAAAACTGGTCTTGAACAAGTATTCTTCTCCTTTCTTTTAATTCTCGTGACGCTTTGTAAGCTCTCTTATCTCTTATCAGGAATTTTAAATGTAACACACATTTTACGTCATGCTGATCTGATAAATTTGAGGGCGCCAATAAAATGAAATGTTTACCCATGGATTAAATTTGACGTCATTTTACATCAGAAATCTATTCGCTTTTTGAATTCCAAGAGAGATTTGATATCTATTTCAGATTTGAAATTTTGTAAACATTTGATACTTTAAAGTTGGGAGTAAAGATTGTTGCATATAGAGGCTGGACCCAAAAGATGACTGTGCTCAATGCGTCTCACAAATCGACGGCGTAGGTCCACAATTATATAACTGGTTTGCAGTGTCTGAAAAACTCCGCCTCTATGTTCCTTTTTTAAAGGAGAACAAATTTACATCATTCCTTGAAGTTTTTGCAAAATTTTCTAAGCACAGAGAAGAAAAATCACGGTAGTTTTAAAGAATTGCCGTTGAGTAGCTTTCCGTTTAAAAAATACAGCATGACAGGAAGTCTGCGACGTCGCAAACCCAGTTATGTGATTGCCGACTTATACCGTCGAAATGATCCATTCAAAGAGTACCTAAGTATGCAAAAAACTTCAAAATCACAAGTTGAAAAACGCTGCGCGAGTCTGATTGATCGCGCTAAACACTACGGTCGGCGATAACCGCATGTTAGCGCCTGCAAGACTGCACGAATGCTTCTCGCATTGCGCGGAGCGCGCTGCTGATGCCTGCAAGACTGCATGGATACTTCACGCATTGCGCGTACGCCACCGTGCGCGGCTCAATCGCAATCGTCGCGTTTTCCCGTTTCCCGTCTTAAGGAATCAAAAGTTCCATAGTGTGAACAACGTGCAAAGCCAGGTTTTTTTTTCTCGTTCTAATATGACAGGAAGTCTGCGACGTCGCAAACCGAATTATGTGATTGCCGACTCATACCGTCGGAATGGAATAATTTAAGCGTTGAAAGCTGGCTCGTTTGGCTTTGAGTAAGTAAATAAATATGTCAGCAAAACATTTGAAGATAGATTTGTTATCTAAAACTGTGCAACTGAAGGCTGAATAACTGAACCAAGCGATTGAAAATGTAAAACCGCAAAAGTGGCTTTACCATTTCATATGAGCATGAGTGGTTTTGGGAGATGTGCCTCAGTGCAACAAATATTTTTTGTTGACGGTAAGCCTCATCTTATCCGAATTTGTGCAGATGATTTCTATTCTTTCAAACTTCTAATTTAATGAAGTGTGATGTGTCTCCATTTTAAATTATTGTCCAACTAGTCGGTAGAATCATAAATGTGATTTTCATGAGGAAAATGATAGGGAACATTGTCAGTATATTTTTACTATTGTTCAGATAACAAATTTTTATAGTTGATCGTTGTTTTAAAAAATAATTGATAAGTTTTCTATGAATGGAGTAAAAATACCGAATGGTGTTATTCAAAACTGAATCGAGAATCTCCATCCCCGTGTTCTTATGATTTTTCTCCGTTAAAAAATACATTTTATTTTTCATGGTAACCGGTCAGAGTTACTTTTAGATAAGATGGAATTTCCCTCACGGGAACCACGATCTCCCTTCGTAAATCTGCCACAGAATAGTTTATCAAAAGGTGGTTGTCAGCTGAATAAGACAAGTAATCTCAGAACTTAAATTTAAAAATAAAAATAAATTTTAACATGTCACAACAAGATACTTATTTATGGTTTTTACGGATGTCAAATGTTTAGCTAAAGTATATCATAATAGTCTACAAAATAAATCAAACTATCGAGTATTGTTCGTAGAAGTCGGCTACCAATGCGCAGGAAACGGCAGAGGTATGAAGCCGGGTGGGTGGGTGACCCGCAATGCACCTCCGTTCGCCGGGCATGTATATTCACGCAGTTCCACGTTCCAGGCGAAGCATTATTATGACCGTATCGGCGTCGTATTTGGAAACCACGCCACGCAATGCCAGCCCGAAAAACCTAACAAGCAACATGTGGAGTATTTAAATCAAAAGAAATTATATCCATTTTGACTTGAAACCTATCACGCATGCATATTGTATCTTGATGCATCTCAGTGTTCATGTAAGAATAGATATGGTTCCTTTTGATTTAAATACAATATAGAAGTCGACTAGCTCCTTGCCTTTGAGAAAGAAGTGAGATTCTATTTTAGTCGAATCCACGATGTAATTGGCGAAGAATTCTCATAATCCAAGTAATAAGTTAGCACTAGGAACTTGCGAAATAACGCATAATTTTATGTAAAGTTTGTTTACCTCTTCAGAATAATGTCATTAATGTTTGAAGTTGGGAAACAATTTTTGGGTCGATTTTAATTAATGGCCATAAAATGATATTTATGTTTCTTCCCTTTTAGATGATTCTGTATCACCTGATACATAATTTTGATTACGAGAATAAAATTGCGACAATTAGCAACAATAGGTTTCAACTTTGCATTTATTTTACTGCAGTCGATTTTTTCGATTGCTCGCACGAAATTTTTCTCGCGCTATATTGAGCAGGTACGACAAAGCTGTCATGCTTGTGCATATTGGAATATATTTTTGCTGACTTTCTGCCTGAAAATCCTCCCAATTCATATAGAAGCTAATCAAAATTGAAAAAAAGCAGGGAATTTCCCTTTATTGGTGGATCACTCGGCAAAAGAGTTGTAGGAATCGTGCAGGATTTTTTGATCAAATTTTATAACTGACCATTCTAAGAGATATTGGAGGAATAGATACTCACAATAAATACGAGGGAAATTGAATCGAGTATTTGAACCTCCCTTCACACCCTGTAGTTTGAAAGTTTGAAAACAAACTCATCAAACCGTCCGAGTAGAAGTACACTGAAAGTCATAGGTACTCATTTTATGTAGTTTTTAAATTCAAAGCATGAAAATACTTCCTGCATGCGTTTTATTACAACTAGGAGCGTTCACCACCTTCATGAGTAATTATGTAGGTGAAATGATTTTCGACTTTCAAGAAAAATTTACTGATGATTTTTAAACATGCCGGTATCCAGTCTATACGAAAAGTTCGACTAGTGAGTTTGGATAAATAGAAAAATACTTACCAACATAACTTACCGAACCATACTTTACCGAATATAAAAGTTTGAAATAAATAATTGACTTTGCAATAACAGCTCATTGGTAGAACTCGTATTAAAGTTGGTGATCGCTCGTTTTAGCTGATCTGTTGATTGTTTGTTATGGTTTCTAGGATTTACAAAGTCTAGGAGCAAAATAAACTAATGCTATTATATATGAAAACAAAAACAAAAACATTTGAGCCTGTATTTTTCTCAAAACTCACACTAATTAGACATAATCCGAGAAAAGAGCAGAGTCTAACTCAATTTGTTAAAATTGAAACTCACCAACGAACAAAAGTTAAACATTTTTGTTAGTATACTTAATAGTGTTCCTTTTTATTTCGCCTGGGTTACAATAGGGAAATTGAAAACCACTTCAGTCACAAAAGAAATTAACAAGGTCAGCGCCCGCATCTTGCGTAGAAATTACATCCACTATTTAAAAAATCACTGTCTTTCTTTACCACGCACACAATAACAAGGAAATTCTCTCTAGATACAACTAAATTCCTAAATTAGTAATATTTCAAAGTCAAAGTGTCTCCATTGGACCCGAATAATCTTCATGCAACATTTCGATAATAGTTAAAGTCGTCGTTTCTTTCAAAATTCTAGGAGTAAATTGATTTTCTTGCCCAACTGGCTTCAAGAGCGATTATCAGTAGGGCAGGAGACCCCCAGAATTTCAGCTGAATGAGGTAAATGCGTAAAAATCAAATGAATTCCACCATACCGTAGAGAAAAATTTGATATTTGTAAAACATATTTTATTCACATGTTTCTTTTCAGCTAGAAGATATTATAGTAGTCACAGAGTGAAATCAAATTATCGAAAATAACTATTAGGCATCTGCTACTAATGCGCAAGAAACGGCGAAGGTGTGAAGCCGGAGGAGTAGGTGACCCGCAATGCACCTCCGTTGCAGGGCATGCATATTCTCGTAGTTCTAGGCGACACATTATTTGAATCACGATTGTAGTGAGGAACCTCGCGGAACTTGCAAAACAACACAGAGTTATCGTTCACGACATTCAATTTTCCGCATTCAGAATTCACTGGCTCATTGCATTTAAAAAGGTATAATATTATTTCAGTCGAATCCACGATGTATTGGGTGAGGAATATATCTGATAATCGAAGTAGTATGTCACCACTCGGAACCTGAAAAACAACGTGTAATTTAGCATGGAATTTTCATAATTCTTCAAGATATCGTCGTGAATTTTAGAGAAAGAAAATAAAACTTTTGGTGATTTTACTCAGTAATTGTAGGCTAAATTGTGAATTTTATCTCCATCTATTTCAGAGGAATATCCATCACCCTATCACATCTTAAAAATGTGTCGATTTAAAAACGAACAAAGATTTATGGAGGCTTTCTGTCTTTAAAAATCATGTGACAATAGGTTCACCTAATCATTTTACATGGTTGTGCTCAAATTTACATTCGGTTTACTGCAACTCAAGTTTTTACCTCACCAAATCTCTCTTGGTGTTTAAAGATAGTCCAATAAAATTGTCATTTAACCGAAAGAAAAAAAAATTGCATCGCGTGCACGGTCCCGATTTTGCGTATAGTCTTCATTGAACTTTATTTTCGCCGAGGCATGTCTCGTTTCTAAATTTTTTCTGTATCAAAATACAAGCGGATTTAAAATTTAGAAAACTAAGTTCAACTAATATTACTTTTCCTTACATTTCCTCCGTTTCTGAATATTCTTTCTCAATGTAACTGAAAAGTTCATGCGCTTGAAGCTTCATTTGCAGCATAAAATTGAAAATGCTTTAAAAGATTTAACCGCGACGTATGAATTCATCTCCGCAATATTCAGAGGTTATTTCATATGAAGTTATTTTTTATGCAATGCAGTTGAGACTATTACTGAACTCAAAAAGTTACATTGTCAGTTCAATTTCCTTTTTCCCTCGCATGAATACCGTCATAACGATAACCATTGGTATAAATTGGACCGCGTTGAACAGAAAGGAACCAAGCCACATCAGCTGTTGCCAACTTTAATTCGGCAATTTAATTTTTTACAAGAAAACGGCTGTGCAGATTTTCGTGCAAATTTCGGTGAAATTTCTCCATAGTACCAAGTTAATTCCTTAAGATTTTCAAAGAAATCCACACAGACTCTCTCTTGTAAAAAATTAAATTGCCCGGTTAAATTTGGCAATAGCTGATGTGGCTTGGTTCCTTTCTGATGAACGCGGTCCAACTGGTCCTGCAATAGTATTTTGGAACTTAGCCTGGCTATAGGATTATATTATTAGCTAGCTATACAGGCAATAATAAATCCTATAGCCTGGCTATAGGGACAGTAACAACTCCTATAGCCGGGCTATGGGGTCCAAAATAAATCCTTTAACAAGCCTATATTCCAAAATACTATTGTGCAGCAATTTTTGCTAGGGACTTGTTACCTCATTTTAAACGTTGCAGGTTGACACAAGATTTCTCACATATCCTCCTGCTGATTTGAAACTGCAACCATGCACCCATGATCATCAAAGATTTTCATTAGTCTATGTGACCTGCTCCACATCTTTCGCATTACACTATACTTCGAGCAATTGAAACACAATACTCACTGGTATAGACGATCAGTGGTTAGATTAGTGAAGGTGTAACTGTGGAAAGAGTGAGTTTTGTTTTTAATGTCACTTTCGGGTTCAACTCTTTGCCGACACCGGGCCTCCGTCTTATTTTCTCTCTTCGCTTGATCAAAGTCCACCATGAAATATCTTATCGAGATATTCTTTGGAGCCTCTGCGTACCAAGTACCTAACGTTGAACGACGTTTCGTTGACCACTTTTGCTTCCACTCCGACAGGTGGACCGCAACCTGTGAGCGATAAAATTTTATGTAATGTTATGTTTCGTAGATATTAGAAAAAAAGAACAACTTGGTACGTTCAATAAAAAACCGACACACACGGAAATGTACTCTTGTAAAACCTCAAGGGTGGCCAGGAACTGTTCCAGACTATCCAACCATAAATAAGTCTCAAGAACTACATCAATGATGTCAATAATTTTCTGATATAACCTTTTCATTGCTAAATTCAATGCAGTATTAATTAGAAAACCGTTTTACATGAGTTGGGATTCTTTAAAGGCTTTACGATCCAGATGAAAAAAAAACTTAGACAAGATTACAAGTAATTTTTTGATGTATATATTTGTATCTTCCTCGCACGTGGAGAGTGGAGACAAATAGACTCACCTCAATCTTCGCATCACGATTAGAGGCAAATGATAAGGGATAGACTAGAAATTCTGGATTTTCTCTCTTATTTTCATGAACATAGGCGGATCCAGACATCCCGGACGGGGGGGGGGGGGTGCACAAGAGGTTTGGAAGGCTTCACCAGCAAATTTTCGACATTTTAAAGCATCTTTTATGCAGTTTGAGTCAATTCTTCATGAATAAGTACCAATTATTTCAGTCCTTCCTTCTTCTCTCCTCCGTTCCTTCTTTTTTTCTCTCTTTCCTTTTGTCATGGGAACGGAGTTCCCCATGATATTACAATCGTTCCGTTGCTTTCGCAATGGGATTCCCTATACCTCTGCGACCTTGAGCGTTTCGCCCAGTCTCCGATTTTTGGTTGATTTTCCGATGTATCAAAAAC